TCCCATGGGTCTTCGGTCGGACGGTTGAGCAAACAGCAGTTGCTTCGCCTTCCTTTCTGGAGTCATACGCAACACGTCCAAACCATCGTAGCTGTGACTTCTCAATCTGAACAAACAGCGGCTGTATACCAAGGTTCTCGCGGGTGTCTGTACTCTGGACCATGTCGCGATGCGTAAGCCCAGCGATTCATTAAGAAAGCCCAATTCAGTCGCCTGCACTCGTGATCAGAGTTTTTCATTCATGGCCCACGACTAATGGCCGTACGTAAGCATCGGCATGAAGATCGATTTGAACACAGAGTTTAGTCTTCAGGCTCAGCTTTGCCTTAACAACAGCGGATCGGGCCAGTTCATGTAGAACGTTGTTGGCCATTCCAGTCAGCTTGCCGGTCGATCACTTCCTCCCTTTTCTCATCACCAGTAAACGCGACCACCCTCCAGGTACCTAAACTTCTCCACCTGCTCCACTGCTTCTTTATTTATCTGAGGAGAGCAACGGGCAGGAGAACCAGAAACCACCAGACGTTCCGTTTAAGATACGCTCACTCGGCTGCGAACCTTTCCGAAAGGCGCTGGAGATCAGTTCCAGAAGATGACAATCAAACAAAGTCGTCTGCAAACAGCAACCTTCTCGTCTCCACATCACCTACGCTGATACACTAGTAGCATCGGCTGCACCTGACTATCTGATTATCGTGTCCACACACACCCACAGGATAAGGAATACAAAGCAGTATTGGCAAAGACAAGCGCCAATGCTGAAAGGTTTCGACTTAACGTCATTTACTCTGATGCAGCACTTGCTGTCAGCAGGCAACATATAGAGACTGAATGGCCCATAACAACTGGTCATAGGTCCCAGATGTTTGGAGGAGCGCCCATAGCATGCTGCACGGGATCCGGTCATACGAGTTCTCCAGATCAACAAAACACAAGTATACCGGATGAGCGACTTCCGACGACTTCTCAACAATTCGATGTAAGGCGAAGATATGGTACGAGGTGTTTCGGCCAAACCTGAACCCAAGCTGTCTTTCTTGTATCTTAGAGTCAGTTATTCCGTGGCGCCTCCTTTCTAACAAATCTGCGTAAAATTTTCCCGGAGGCTCAATAAGGTAATGCCCCGATGCTTGAGTAAGGTAAAACTTCATATTATCTATCAACAAAACAATAAGCAGAAGAGACGGTATCTTCAAAATAGACTATCGGACTGGCGCAACGTACATCAAGAACATAAAATGAGTCTACGATTAAGCATCCCTTTGCCATAACCCGCACTTCAGAGATTTCGCACATATGCGCCAATAAATCCTCCTTGCAATTTACCTCAATCTGTCACCCATCACAGCTCCAGCCGTGAATCCGGTACCGAAATATAACTAGTTATCGAAACTGAATAAGCATAATTACTTACGTCACATGTGACAACCATTTTGAGATACAAGTTTACTTTAAATGTTGCAGCATAAGGTTTAACAGTGGTAGCGCACTAGACAGTAAATACGCATAAAACTACTGTGTATCTAATTTTTAAGCGATGAAAACAGTACAGCGACAGATCGTCATAATTAAAATGGTCCTCTAATAATTAATCATAATTAGTTTTGGTTCCTGGACCATTATTTTTAATGGATTATCTCACGCCTTTCGTTCATGCGTGGATGTTCACTGCAAGTCAGTGAAAGATAGAGAAAGATGGGAAGGAGTAGGTCACGATACAAACAGCTGCAATGACTGTAGTGATAAACTTGCCCATGTTCCTATTCTTGTCTAAGTTCTTTGACAATGAGATCGGGTCGCCATAAGATTTTACCACGGGAGACTGTTAGGTGAGATCAGGCTTAGTAGCTTATACAACCTTACTCTATGATCGTAAGGCCATATAATATGTATATACAAGAGGATAATGGCAGTTCAGAATATTATGTATAATTAATTGTACTTGCGGCCGTGGCTGTCTCAGAGTCCTTACGAGGAAAGGTAGGATGGATCGCCGGTAGAGATTTATTCAGCGTGGAAATGTGTTGAACCAGTTGCGGGTGGCATGATGCAGGGGCAATGCATGTATCAATCAGTAACAGTTAAATGGCGGGAGCAGGAGGATAAAATCTCAAATGTTAACGATGATTGTTTTTGCAGAAGTCATAAAAATCAGAAGTAAACGTTAATGAAGAAGCATATAAGCAGATTAAGCAGGCTTTAGTCATTGGCACCGTAAACTATTTGGGACCAATATAGAATACAGAGCGATTAGCAGGTACATCTTGCAAAGGAAGGTTTTGGAGGATCTAAGCACTGATTTTAAATTAAGTTTATAAACATTAATTGTATCTAGATATTTTTATTGTTCATAAACATCTTGTTCAAATTGCGGAGTCAGTCAGTGCTACCAGTTCGGGCGAAATAGATCACCATTATTTGTTCGGCTGCAACACACTGATGTGTGTTGTCTTGTTGATTTTTTGCATCAGCGTATTGGACACGACCGAAATTAATGAGCGGATGGAATCAACGATCATCAGCTCAAACATATAGTTGAATCATTTGACTGCTAACGTACCCTGTCCACTCGGTACACCGCAGCTGCTCACTCGGTAGAGCGTTCGAGAGGTATCGGGTTCTAATCCCGATCAGGTCACTTTCTCTTCTGCCTTCTGAGATTGAAAAATGAATACTAATGTGGAGGAGGAACTACACATTGACTGACACATAAACAGCGTCCACTCTGCTTTTAAAATACTGAGCTCCTGGCTGAAA